TTGTTACTTACCAGTAGATTTAATATTAAAATCTGCAGCAAATGATATATCAATAAAATGATCAACAAAAAAATAAGAACACTAATATAAACGAAACTAAACAGTATATACCCACAGCTGAAAAATACAATTCAAAGCGAGAAACCTAATATTATGTCTGCCTGCTGGGACCTGTTAGAAACGATTAGTATTGAAAGCAGTACGTACGCCATCTGTTATTGAAAAAAAAAGCCAAATGGAATAATTCTCTTCTCTGTTCCTAGATGGCTCAGGCGGCACCAAATGCACCAATTTTATTATTAATGTGATAATAAATCAGACTCTAGTCACTGCCTATTTAGGATTAAAACGTTATTAACGTTAAAACAGTGAAATAAATATGATAGTTTTGTATGTAATAAATTCCGCTACATTTTGGGCTAATTTGTTCTACCGCCGCTACGCCGCTCTTCTCAAAATAATCCGCTACAAATAGCGGAATTCCGCTACGTATGGCAACACTGGTTACGCCCCCTAGTGGCCATTTCAGAAACTTGAAATTATATACTAGATTATTCCCTAGGCCATTTTCGTCAAAACTTTCTTGCTGCGTCTGCGATGAATAGGTTGACAAATGCAGTACCCCGTTTTCTTAGTTGGCCACCCAAATCCAAAAACATATCTCAATTTCGAGATATTCCGCGATTACAATTCTTGTCAGCTAACGAAGGAAGTAAAAGTGAAAATAAATGGATTAAGTCACAATACAATAGAATGAGAGTAATGTAATGTATGAAAAGAAGTAAGTAGAGATAACAACAGGTTATAAGGAAATGGAAAAATAACTGATCAAAAATACAAGGTACGAAAACGAAAGAAGTTGTTAAGTTGTTCTGTAATTCTAGTAAATTTCTTTTTAAATGTTTTTTAAGGCACTGGGAAGATCGGATACTTCAGAGCCTAAGCTGTTGTAAGACACACTGGAATTGTCAGTAAAAGATCTTGTGAAGAGTGTTGTGCCATGTATTGGCATGGTTAAGATGTGACGCTAACGAACCTGATGAATTCATTACAGATACTGTTTTCAGGTGCATCTCGTTGTTTTATTGATATAACGAATCCCGGTCAAGATCTTACAGAATGGCATCACATAATTCTAAGTTGCTTAGTCATAACTGAAGAGTCGTTTTTCAAAAATGTTGCTATACGTTTCGTAAGTTATGTGCCAGGAAAACTAAACTGCTCAAATAAAAACTATGAGAGCAAGAAAAAAATTCACATTTGGTGGTCTTTGCAGGCTGCATTTCGGTGAAAAATGGTCGTATCTAGATTTAAAAAAAGCATTTTGAAGCTTTAAGATTCTGGTTTTTAGTTTTTAGCCTAATTTTAGAAGCAACGGTTCCCATACAAAGGACACTACAAAAGTTTTGCAATCTGACAACCAACGGACGCAGGAGACTGCATGTTACTGCCTGTTGAGGCATGTCCACGAGTGCATAGTAGCCGCCAGCCGTACGTCTATTAATTTACTTAATGTGCTTACATTTAAGAATGATTGTCCTCATCGTACGACTATATGTTCAGGTGGCACAGAGAATTCTAAAGGGGCAAAACTTTTATAGTACTGAACAATTCTAGCAGATAGCGTACTTAGATGTAGACGAAACGTTATCGTATTGTATGTCGACAGCTCAGCAGTAAAAAAAATGTTGACTAGCAAGTTAGTGTACGGCGTCGTTCTAAAAGCTAATACCGAAGAAAAATAAACAGCATTTTTGACAGTTCGATACTACAAAATATTACAATGGTGTCGTAAAATGTAAGTGTGTAGTTTCATATACCTCTCCGCCACTGATCCATTGTGTAGCCATCGACGTCAGTAAGAGAGACTTACATTATCGCCAGACAAAAACTGGCTGGTGATGCCTTAACAAAGTAGCATTCTAATGCTTCACGATGGCCATACGCTGCGTTGTATGTATGGATCATAAAACGAGAATAAGACGATAAAAAATCATCAGTTTGTACGGTTACTTAATAGTTATCGGACCTCCAGCAGCATACAGAGGCTGAAAGAATGTTAAAAATGACGTCTCTGCACTTCCGACGTCATCATTTCATAAAGGATTATGTTCTGCACAGGTCATGTCCTTTGAGAAAAAAGTCAGCTATAGTCAACGCCAAACAAAGTGGCGTGCACGTCATCAAGGTGGGTGTGTTGAAAAATTTACATTGTTGCCAAACTTTTTGTAAAATAATAAAATTTATCATTTACATATCTAGGTTTATAAGCAATATTAACCTCAAATGAGAACAAAAATAATAGTATAATAAAATTATAGATCTGTACTTGCATAATCACTAAGTATGACAATTATTGATCAGATGACACTATGAAACTACCATATTTAATTGATAGCTTAAAGGTACTGAATAAAAATCCAAATGGGGTCCTCCAAATTTTATGCATGGTATTTATTTTACAGAATTCATACAGAAAAATGCATTCTAAAATTAGGTAAGCTACTGGTGTAAGCTTTTTCTGTACAATAAAGTTAGTCGGAGTTTCTTTCTTCAGCGCTGTCTGAATCTGAATCTTCATCACTCTCAAAGTTGATTATTAAAGGTTCGATGTCTGGTCGATCAAAAATTCGTTCTCTTTCATACCATTTAAAAATTTCTTGCTCAGTATGTCGAACACTATTTTTCCACATGTCTGGGGTAACCGTTTGTAGAGCCTCGTTCCACATATCCAAACAGTCTTTTTCACTGTTACCATCTCTACCAATATGTCTGTTATAGTAACCTTTTGCTATGCCCCAAATTAACTCAATAGGGTTAAATATACAATGGTAAGGAGGCAGACGAAGAACTTTGTGCCCATGTTGTTCCGCCAATTCATCAATCACGTATATTTTAGGTGGTTTGTTTCTAAAAAAGCAGTTATTTTAAGAATAGGAATAAACAAACGAAATATAAACTGTCGACCAAAATATATATAATTAAGAAGCATTATGTACCGAGCAACAATACTCAATAGCTCTGTTTTAAACATTGTGTTTAAAAATGGTATGTTTTGATTTTTCAACCAGTCTTGGATATTTTTTTTTGTCCATGCATTGTTGGGCACTTTGTTCAATATCATGCTGTGATAAGGGGCGTTATCCAGTATAATCATAGATGGACTCTCCAATTTTTCTAATAACTGATGTTGAAACCATTTCAAAAAATTGTCCTGGTTCATCTCTCCATGGTAATCGCTCAATTTTGTTTTCGAAGAAAATATCGCTTCACTACCCTCAATAAACCCATTTTCATTTCCAGCATGTAATATAATGTATCTAAAATATATTAGTTTTAAATTTTATAGTGCAAATTGTGTAAAAGTACATACCTTTTACCATCTGTTTTAATAGCTTTCACGCTTTTTTGGTTTCCATTTTGCCAAGAGCGACCTATGGTCCCATTTTGAAATATCCAAGTTTCATCGAGGAAGACAAACTGGTATAAGGCCTCAACCTTGGCTTGATTGTATTGCCTTAGAAATTCCACCCTTTTCAAAGCTATACTTGGTAGTTCCATGAGCCCTCGTCGCGGATTGTCCTTACGCCACTTAAATCCAAGATCTCTAAGCAACCGCCTTAAAGACGTGGCACTACCATCAAATAATGCCCTATCTCTTAATCGAGACCATAAAGTTTGTATCGTAACTTGTTCTTCTGAAACCATGTGTAATATGACATTATAATTTAGTTAACAAATTAATGCAAATTTCTGATAAGTTATTATAATAAGATCTTACTTTTGTGATACATATTATAGATCACTTCTCGAATGGCACTTGTATCCAATGTCGCTGTGTTGGTTACACGTTTAATATAACTCCGCTTTTTCTTGGGCGATTCTAAATTTGCATCACTTTTCACACCCTCGGAAATACGACTAACTGTCCTTAAACTAATTTTTAAAGCAGCAGCAACACGCTACAAAAAATGAAATAAAATTTCACTATTATTAATATACATTACATATAATTATTAGTAACCTACCTCTTGAACAGCATTTAAAGGCAACAAAGGCCCGTTGTTGTCCCTTTCTTGCTCAAAGTAGTGCATTAACGAGGCCACGAGTTCCTTACACCGACTATTTAACTGTTTGGGCATCTTTATATACCAAAATTGCCTTTATCTACTCGTAAAATGAATAATTTTGTTTTGAAACAAACAGTTGTTGATTTACAGTATGCGGGGCCAAAGGATTTATAAAGATTTGAAATGCCACAAATTGATTCAGTGTCAAAATTAATACAAATGTCAGTTCCCAGTTTAAATAAGTTTCAAGGTGACAATGTGTCAACGCTGCGAAATCGGTTTAGTGCGTTTACATGTCGATAAGTGATTGGAGCGTTTGCAAAACATTTTATTTCGCATAATGCGTCTAAATTTATCAGAAAGCAACTTATGTGATATTTTAATAACAATGTTTATATGACTATTAACCATAATAAGAGAGTAATGACCATTTTACAATTTATATATCACATTAATATGAAACTGCAATAGAGCAATTGTTTGTGATAGAAACCTAGGCATTAGGTCGGGGAATTTTTATCGTGATGACGTGCACGCCACTTTGGCGTTGACTATATAAACATGTATACTAAGTGACAATAAAAAGGTAAACACGTTAGTATGTTTTTTAGAATTCAATAATTTTTAATATATCGATTAATCTTAGTAGATAGGGTTTGTATGTTCAGGGACGCCCTTGAGCACCGACCTTCGGTGCCAAACGACCTTGAGAACTGACCTTCGGTGCCAACCTTGAAATGTGTCTTTGAAACGTGGAATTGAGATTCCGAGTGACCTTGAAGTGTGACCTTGAGTTTTCGAGTGACCTTGGATCGCGACCTTGAAATATGACCCTGAAATGAGACCTTGAAATGTGTCCTTGAAATATGATCTTGAGTTTCCTAGTGACCTTGAAGTGTGACCTTGAACATATATGACCTCGAACACTCTCTACCTTGAGTGGGTGTGACCTTGTAGGAGTGAACGACCTTGAGATGTAGAAGGGAGCGCCGACCTTCGGTGCCAAACGACCTTGACAGCTGACCTTCGGTGCCAACCTTGAAACGTGACCTCAAAGTGTGACCTTGAAACGTGAAATTGAATTTCCGAGTGACCTTGAAGTGTGACCTTGAGTTTTCGAGTGACCTTGAAGTGCGACCTTGCAATATGACATTGAAATGTGACCTTGAAATGTTACCTTAAGTTTACGAGTGACCTTGAAGTGTGACCTTGAACATATATGACCTCGAGTACTCTCGACCTTGAGTGGGTGTGACCTTGTATTAGTGAACAACCTTGAGATGTAGAAGGTATGACCTTGGAAATATATGCTTAAATTGTGGAACTCGCCGAGAGAAGTCAGTTCTGTAGTTGCAAGTGGCGCAATGGAACAGTACTAGTGGGATGCAGAATATAATATTGGCGAAGAAAAGTACGTGTTTAGTTTGTCAAACGGAGAAACTGTTGGAGCATGCAAAGGAGTTTCGCTGGATTCGTAGGTGGTGTTGTTGCGGGACATTTTTAGTTTATTGTTGGACGTGTGCTCAACACCGTCCCCATGAACAACAAGTGATAAAATGGCCAGTTAAGTTTTTGTGTATTGTTTGGTGATAAAGAAGCATTCAGTTTTCGTACATTTACGGTGTCAGTTTAATGTGAAATTTCGTGTAGCTTATTGGGAAGCCTCAACACGATATCGAACCAGCTTCTGCAGTCAGTTGACGAATCAAGTTGAAAAGGAGGTGGGTTGATAAGGGCCATTTTTCACCCATAACACACTCAGAAATAAAAAGTTCGATTCCAGACTATTATTGAATTTATTTCTGAACTTCAAGACGTGTATTCTTTCATTATATAATATTTACGGTATAAATAATGATTCTTCAGAAACTATTGCCAATAAATAGAGTATTTAGCGCTTTTTGTGCATTTTTGTTGTTTTTCGATCATGAATCATGTTTTCCCTACAAAGCGTTCCATGAACCACATTAAGTTTAAGCTTAGTGAGTCTACTTATTATAAGCTTGTATATGAGTATTTATTTGTTTTGGTTCAGTGAGCGCATCAATCCAAAAATACGTAATATATGCTGCGGGAGAGTGTGAGTCACGCTGCAACCGCTGCGTGTTCAGGCATGATTTTTCGCGCTCGAAAAGTACACTAAGTGACATATAAATCCGAACACCCAGTTTAAATGGTTTTATTTTAATAAAATTTTGTATAAGTACTTAATGAAGCATAATAAGTAAATGATAAAAATTTCAAAATGATTGCACTGCTTTAAAGCCCTTTGACCTTTAATAATGTGTGGATGCACCCTGATGTGCTACGCATTCTCCAACGCGCCTAGGCATGCTTCTGATCAGGTGGTCAATGTCCTCCTGTGGTATCTCATTCCAGGCAACCACCAACTCCTCTCGAAGTGCTTCTAGAGTCTGAGGAGGACGTTGCAAATTGAGCAATCTCCTACCCATCATATCCCACACGTGCTCAATTGGGGATAAGTCGGGAGATCTTGGTGGCCATGGTAACAATGTGACATTATTATGTTGAAAGAAGTCTATTGTGACTCTTGCAACATGTGGTCGGGCATTATCTTGTTGGAAAGTTGGATCTGCCAGGGTGTCAAGATAGGGTAAAAGATGGGGTTCTAGAACTTCGTGGATATATCGCTGCGCGTTCATGTTACCTCTGATGAAGATTAAAGGTGACCTGGAACCATAAGCTATAGCACCCCAAACCATAACTCCAACAGTGTGATGAACATGTCTTTCAACAAAAAACTGTGGATTCCTCCTTTCACCACGTCGCCTTCTAACCCTGGCACGACCATCGTGCATGCCTAAACAAAATCGAGACTCGTCACTAAAGACAATACTGTTCCATTCCTGATCCCAGAGTGAGCGTTGTCTGCACCACTCAAGGCGATTACGTCGGTGTTTTCGAGTTAAAGGGAGGACCCAGTGTGGCCGGTATGAAAACAAGCCAAAACTTCTCATTCGTCGGTAAACACTTCGCATGCCAATAGGTCTTCCGTGTTCTGCAAACCATTCATTTGCAATGGACCTGGTAGTGGAGAAACGGTCCCTTAAGGCCAATAATCTTAGGCGGCGATCTTCACGGTCTGTCGTTCTACGGCGGCGTCCAGTGCCCCTTGCTCTTTGCGTACGGCCTTCTCGAAGCCATGCCTGACAACACCTAACCATAGTGCCTACACTTCTTTGCACTCTAACTGCAATTGCCCGAAAAGAAAGTCCAGCTTCCCGAAGTCCCACTATACGGCCCCTATCAAACTCATTAAGTTGACGAAATCGTACAGGTCTCCGTACTCTAGGCATCGTAACCGATCGTAAAGGATGTCAAGAACCAAAACCCGCCAACGTTGATTCTTTACTGCGTCTGAAATACTCATTTTTAGAGCGTTAGTGAATTAAAAAAAAGCAATATAAAAACTGGAATGTCCAACTGATAAGGCTGAAAATTTTTTCACTTGTTATTTACAGTAAGATAAATACATTCACCAACTTTTATTAAAATAAAACCATTTAAACTGGGTGTTCGGATTTATATGTCACTTAGTATATTTAGGTATAGAAACTGTGCTGTGCTGTCGGGTTCAACGTTTATTGAAAAAGTTGATAAAACAATAATGCGGATGCCAGAGTGATTGTTGTAAAACGTCGCGAAAAACAAACAGTGATTTCCGTAGCTGCTGGTACAAAAACATTATGGCAATACTTAGAAAATCTAAAAACTGTGATCTGCAGATTGGTTCTAAGTTGTGTCCCATATGCATTTCGCCTACCTCAATCTCATCTTCTGTAAGGACAACAAGAGTTCTTACTTCAAAAAGTACCTCTGATGATACTGAAGGATGATCTGGTAGTGATTCGAATTATGAAGACAAGGAAGAAGATTAGTAAAAATATATTAAGTGTATGAAAACTGATTATCTTTTATTATTGTTTAATAAACATACATACCACTCAGATAATTATTTAATTTCAGTTTTCATTTGAAATAAGTATCTTTTCTTCTTTGTTATGGAGTATACTCCTCATAAATATATATGTCACAACTGTTTTGCTGATGGGCGAAAAATGGCTCTTACCAGCCACCTCCTTTACTGCTTTGTTAACTTCGCGCATTTATTCGCACATTGTTTATTTGATCAGATGTTCTATTAGTTATAGCTCTAAGTGATTTCAAATATGTATTTTTACGACTAGAGTGTATCTAAAATGTTTTTGAGAAAATAAATTGTTTTAGAAGTAAATAGTTTCGTCATGTGGTTATAAAGGCATATTTTGGTACAAATCTTGAAGTGGGCAACTGAAGTGGGAAGGGGCTCGTATATGCAAAAAATTATTAAAATCGGATAAACATACTTAGGAGCTTACTTTTTTTGTCACCCAGTATATAAATGAACAATGGTTCAAACAGGCTCGTACAATTAGTCCATAGACATTCTTTCCTCACCCTGTTGGTATCGATCAGGTATGTCAGCCATTTTAAGTGAGTAATATGTAGAGTCTTTAAGGCGTTGTGAAAAATCCTGTTCTGATCCTGACACTTGCGCCACGTTTTTCACGCTCTGTATGAAATAAATATGCATGCTTTTCTTTGCAAAAGTATCACCTTTCTCGTTCACAAGCCTGTAAATCTTCATCTGACCATAATTAAATTAATATCGGCGGAGTAACCGTGGTGTAAGGGCGTCGTTGAAGATGGCCTAACAAGATTTCTCAGAAAATTCCTCTTCAAGCGTGTGATGTTATTAATTTAATAACATGGCGCTAACGAGAGTGTGCCTTTGCGTTGGTTTTCACATCTTTAGCTTTGATCGATTCAGTTGTCAAATATTAATTTTCGTATGGTACTTTTCGAAAAATATATGCTTGAGATATACAGGGTGTGCTGAAAGTTTGGACTTTCTTTTCCAAAAACAACTTCGTTTGAAATAACAATGCCAACTTGTGATGGAGCTGTAGGGAAAAAGTACTGTTCATTTGCAGAGAAATTACAAATACAGCTCTGTTCGAAGTTGTCACCGTTGGTAAAATGTTTCATAGAAAGTCTTAGGCATTGTAAACCGTCCACCGATGTGGGAAAATAAAAGATCCAATGAGCATACCATTTATCTTATCAGCCCAAATATCAAAAAAACGTTTGTTGAGAATTTGACCTACGGACCACGTGAGGATTTTCCAATGACCACAGGATTTCGGAAGTTATTCTGAAGCTTGAGAGGATGTTGCAGCAAAGTACCAAGTCCCAGGGCGGGTACTTAGGTACGTGAAGATACGTGGTAATGAAATGGCAGATAGTCTTCTATTGGCTAAGTCCGTTGGAATGTTGAAAGTTACAGCTTTTATGGCGACAGAGTGAGTTGGAGAAATCTCAAAACATTTCCACGTGACAAGACAACTAATCATGGATAGTATTGCGAGGAAGAGATATTCATTGTACAGGAATAATTTGCGATTGTTGGCAGTGGCGCGCGTGACCTTTTCTAAACTGTTACCAAAACCAGATGTGAAAAATCTTATGAAAAAAAGTTTATTTTGAACCTCCTAAATATAAGTTTTTGCTTATTTTAGGTATTTTATTTAAACTATTTTTAAATTAAGGTAAACATTCCTGGACTGAGCGTCTGGGGCACTTGATATACCTCATCGTCTTATGCTGTGACTAATCCAGTCGACCTTTCTAGATGTTCGGAAAATTTTTGATCTTTTTTGGCAATGATTGTTAACAATTCCCTGTAATTTAATCTATTGCCAGAGTCATCCCCTTCAAAATGAACGGTAATTCCTGTTTTGCCAAAAAACATACGGTATCTAGAAGTGTGCTCCCTAAAAGCTTGGTTAAAACAACTTTCGATTCTTGTTTTGCCAAACTGAGTTTAATTTCATGTCTCCTCTTTAGAGCCCCAAAACTATTTAAATCGTTGACTCCGCTGCTCGTCCACCCATTTTTTTCTGTATAAAACAGAAGACATCGCCAACAATATATTTGTTTTTTGCAACCACATAACCAAAAGTTTCCATATAGCAACTTAATTTAAAATATCAAACTACGTTTCTTTATTCCTTTTTAAAATTATCTAAGATAGGAGTTGGTCTTCCATTTTCAACGATCTCCTTTTTTTCTTAAAAATTATACAAGGAGAATGACTTTTCAAGTAGTTGATCGATTACGCAGCGACACTCATCCATGTTTAATTGCACGCACACTA